ATTCATCAATATGTCAAAACATTCAAGACATTTAAAAAAGTTGAGTAATTTTTGTACATGGACAACTTCGATCAAAGTTTTCTAACTCATAACAACCAATAACCCCAAAATGTTACAAAATCACACAAAATCATAAATATATGGAGTTAAGAGAATCCCCTACCTCAAGAATGAGAGCAAACAACGAAGACCCAAGCAAGAACTTTAATGACATCGCAATCCAAATGGTAAAAATCAAGGTCTCCACATAGTCTTCATCTTTTACAAGAGGTTTAGGCTTGGATCTTGGTGAAAAGTGAGATATTTAGAGAGAGAAAATTAGGGTTTTCAAAGTTAAGGAGAGAGTAGAGGAAGCGAAAAATAAAAAGTGAAATAAATTATCTAACAATACAGCATGTAAGTTGTTGATATCGCGTAGACCGCTTGAGCGGTCTTTTCACCACTCAAGCGATGACTTAAGCTTTTAGGCTCTTAGCATTTCAGTTTGCAGAGCAAAATACTAGATTATAGCGATCCCGGTTGTCCCTTTACTGTTCTGTTGTATTCCGGACTCAGTTCCGTGGAGTTAGTAGTTGTATCTATCTTGTTGTCATCCTTTAATTCCACTTGTTCGGGTTTTAGGATGTATTGGGCAGAGTTGTTACAGGTTGGTTAGGCTTTGGTTTCAATTCTTTGTTGCCCAGATTTTAGGAGGTCCGCTCGAGCGGAGATTGCATACTCCTAGTTTTTCGTGTCCCTGCAAAACTTCTGCAGGTGTGATTTTTTACGCTCGAGCGGGTTTCTCTACGCTCGAGCGGTGGCGCTCGAGCGGGTAGTACTTTTTGGTGTAAGTTCTGGGAGGGGGAAATCTACGCTCGAGCGGACTGGTTTTCGCGCTCGAGCAGATGTACTTTATTCTTGTGTCTTGGCGCTCGAGCGGGCCTTATCGCGCTCGAGTGTACCTAGTTTTTTTGTTCTTGACGCTCGAGCGTTGTGTTCTCCGCTCGAGCGGGAATGTCGTATATCAGTTGGCAGCTGGGCATTTTAAAATCACTTTTTACATTCTCTCTCTCTCTTACTTTCTAAAATGCCATTTTGAGAGTTCCTCTCTCTAGAAACTCCCTTCTCTCTAGGGTTTGATCTAGTTAGAGTGTTTTTTCTTCCTTCGGCCTTTGTAAAAGTTGGGTTGATCGTCGAGGGCTATCCATTGATCCGAAAATATTGAGTTTTGGAGCACGTTGAGTTTTTTCATCTTCTTTTCTTGAGCTCCGAATTTGAGATAGGGATTCCTACTCACTCTTATGGGTTTTAACCTAGATTTTGAGCTTATTGTTTAAATGGTTGATTTTGGGACTTAGGGTTTCAAAATGTGTTAAAGAGGGTTTTTGTGATTTTGGGCTCATAATATGTATTTTGGGTTTCAAAATGATGATATTGTTGTTGGTTGTTGATATTTAGACCATTGGGTTAATATTTGGAAATCGGGTGGAAAACCCTAATTTTGGGAAAATTGTGACTTTATGGAATTGAGTTGGAAATAATGAAATTGGTGCATTATATGGTTGAATAGTGGAGTTAGATTTATTAATCGCTCACTTTTGAAAACATTGATATTTTATCTGTTGGAGCTTTTATTATCTATTTAGAAATAATTGCTTGGGCTACCGGTGGAGGGTAGTTTTGATTGTTGTAGACAATGCATGATGATTAGGCAAACTAAAACTAATCAATTGGATATGTCATAGAGTATGACGGTTGATAGAATACATTAACGTTATGTATTGATTAATTGTATATATGACCTTTGTGTATATACGTTGTGTGTGTGGGAGGAGATAGGTGATGTACTCCACGGTATAGGGGAAGATAGGGGATGGACCTCTAAACCGGATGTTGTTTGGGAGGAGATAGGGGATGGACTCCACTGACACAGCTCATATGCTTGTCAGATAATGTGCTGATATAGCTTATATGCTTATCTTTGGAAGTGTTGATACAGCTCATATGCTTATCATTGGAAGTGTTGATATAGCTAATATGCATATCTGTTGAAATGTGGATACAACTTGTATGCTTATCTGTTGAGATGTTGATACAACTAGTATGTTTATCTATTGTAAAAATGGGAAATGTTTAATATGAGTCATTGTCTCATATAAGTGGTTGGCCAGGTTCTGAGCCGTTGATGTAAATTGTGAAATTGAAATGAAATGGAAATGGGTTTTGAATTGGTTTATGGAAATTGAACATTTATCAATTGCCAATGTCTTAGTTATTGCTCATACTGTGTTTAGCATATCTCTACTAGGCGTTGGCTCACCCTATATGGGACATTATTTTTAGGTACAGGTAGTATGCCACCTCCAAGGACATAGCTTGGATGATGATGAGAGTTGAAGACTTTTTTTTTTTTGTTTATTTTGATGTATTACATGTAAATTTAAGCCAAGGGCTTAATATGTATTGAGTTAGCACTCTTCTTTTTGTAACCAAATGTTAACTTGGAAAGCTGTAAGCCCATAGGGCATTTGCTTTTGTTGTTAACATGTAATACAGTTGTAAGAATCACTCTGATGAATAGAAGTGGTTGGTTTCTTTTATATTAATGCATGTCTAAAGTGATGGGTTTTATGTATTATTTTGAGGGCGTTACATAGATGCACCCCTTCATCGCTCAAGCTGTAAACCAACCGCTCGAGCGGTGACCCAGGACACGGCAAGTCACAGAGCTCAGCTCCTAAGGCACTTCCAACACATTAACTTTATTTCCATATGTAAGTAATGCTTTCATTTAGCCTCTTACATTTATAATTCATTTATTTCAGTTTACAATGTAAACAAGGAAATACCCCCCCTATTTGGATTCAAAAAAAAAAACGAAAAAAAAATCAAAATCCAATTAGATCAAAAAGTGGTTCCCCCAGTTTTAGTACAAAAATAATTTTTTGACTAAAATTTTTAAGTTTAGCGTTGAAGTAAAGTGGTTAATATCTCGTAGAAAAATCCCATAAAATCAAATTAGACTATTTTATATATAAGGAACAATAACCGCCAAAAATAATTTTCTAAATCGCAAATTGTGAAAAATCTAATTTTACACTTAGAAAATTTTCAGGCTAAATAGAATCTTTGACAGAAAACTTTTTTAATACAGCCATCTTTGTACAAACAAGAATAAGGGTCGGATCTCGACCCGAGCCATTACAATCTCTCCCACTAACAAAATTTCATCCCCAAAATCTAGGTAACTCAAGATTCAAGAGTCTGACAATGCTAGAAGGAGCCAACATTTGGACTAACGCTTATAGATCTGTTAGACCTTTTGTACTTTGATGAATGTTTTTATTTATGTTTTAAATTTGTTTTGATTTATTTGAAAGAAGAAAGTAGATTGAATTAGTATAATTTATTCCATGATATTTTGATCCTTTCTTCTATACTAATCATGCCCTTCTTGAGTACAAAATGAGGCTAAAACAGGTACCAAACCAATGCACTAGAGTAGCAGAAGCACACCCTGCCACATTATAGCACCACTTGGTCTTGGGTTATTAAGCCCGATTGTGGGTTTTGTGACCTGGCCGGATTTCATTCCGAACATCCGGCCAGACATTCGGCCAGATAACCGGCCATGACATTTTGGCCTAGTTTTGTTCCAATTCAGTTCTGCTTTGCTCCAGCTGTCAAACCAACAGTATACTCGACGACTGTGACAGTCATCCTTGGTGACTAGGACTTGATCGGACATCCGGGTGGATGCCCACCAAGAACAAAACTTCATCTGGGACATCCGGGTGGACGACCACTCTGTGTTGCAACGACTTTTTTTCAAAATAGTTGCCACAAATCAGACACATCTTTCAACTCATCATTCAACATCTAAAAGTTTGGGAAATTTATGATTGAGTAGAGTAGATTTAACCAAAATCTCACTCAATCTTCTCAACACACGCAACATACGACAGTCAAGATGTACTTCTATTAAAGAAAAAATATAGCAACAACACAAGCAAGAGAAATTTTTTTGATCTTTTATCAATCTCATTTTCTCTGATCATCTGAGGAGTTCTTCATTTGGTTTTCATTTTATTCTCAGAAATTATACATAGAGCCTTATAGCTTTAAGCTCATCATACCTGTGTGAGGTTTACAAAAAAATCAGACTTTCAACTTATATATCTATCTTTGAGAGATAACTCTTATGGCTTTCTTTAAAAGAAAAAAAACTTTATTTCAATCTTGTAAGAGTGTAGTATACTTAATGTTCTTGACTCTTTGAGTGTGATTAAGAATCAACTAAAGAGGGCAAGGGTTTGGACTTGAAAAGTCTATGTAAAATCTGTTGAGGATTGTCCCATTTGTGAAGAGGTTGCTAGAACCGCTATGAAGCTAGGGGATAGTGGAAAATCCCAAGTGAAGCTTGAGGAGTGGATGTAGGCTTGGTTGAAGTCGAACCACTATAAATCTGTTTGCCTCTCTCCCTTATCTCTTTATTTTGTTTAACTGTTATAGTCATATCTCATATACTCATTGTGCTAAATTCATAAACTGATATAGTTGTTAGATCACTTGTGTTAACCATCAAATCTCTTCATTCACTACATATAGCTATCTGTTAGCTTTCTTCCATTAAGTGTTGGTTGTAATTACTTACTTCTCTAAATCACAAGCAGTTAAGGGAAAAATCAAACACTGTATTTTTGCTTAAACTATTTAACTGATATTCTCTCATTGTGATTGTCCAAGTCATCTTTGTTTCAGTAGCTATATTTATTTGTTGTGCTAGTTGTAATTTTTATTGGGGTATTATTAATTTTAACTTGTAGAAACCTAATTCACCCCCTTCTTAGGTTCCTTTTTGGGTAACAATTGGTATCAGAAATAGGACTCTTATTTAGATTTAGCCATCGAAGAGATTTTGATCCATGGCAATCATAGTTAGTACTAGCACTATAGAAGGTCAAGCCATAAATAGGCCAACCTTGTTTGATGGAAATAATTATAGCCACTGAAAGGATAAGATGACCCTTTATCTTCAAGTCACCGATTATGCTATGTGGATTATAGTCACTAAAGGTCCCAAAATCCATGCCAAATTAGTTGACAATGTTAGTGTACCTAAAACCGAAGATGAATGTGATGAAAAGGATCATAGACTATTGCAAGACAATACCAAAGCCAAACTCACTCTTGTATGTGGCTTAGATTCTAACGAGTATAATCGAATATCTAGTTGCGGCACGGCACAAGAAATTTGGGACAAACTAGAAGTAACATATGAAGGCACCGACCAAGTTAAAGAATCTCGTATTGATATGTTTATTCATAGTTATTAATTGTTTAGCATGAATTCCGATGAATCTATTTCAAGTATGTTTACTAGATTTACTGAAATTGTAAATTCTTTGAATTCTCTTGGAAAAACATATACTAACAGTGAGTTTGTGAGAAAAATTCTTAGGTGTTTACCAAAGAATTGGGAGGCTAAAGTCATTGCAATCATTGAAGTAAAGAACTTATCAATTCTTGGATTAGATGAGCTCATAGGGTCTCTAATGACTCATGAAATCACTACGAAAGGACATAAGGACGTTGAGGACAAAAAAAAGAGTGGAATTGCTTTCAAAGCCTCATCCCATGAAGAAAAAAATGAGGACACTAGTGAAGATGAAGAATATGCTATGTTTAGTAGAAATCTCAAGAAGGACTACAAGAAGAACAATCATGGAGGTAGAAGACCTTTCAAGAAAGAGTACAACAAAGTTGACATCCAAAAGAAGGAACCTATCATTTGCTATGAGTGCCAAAATCTGGGACACATGAAAATAGATTGTCCAAAATTGAAGAAACTTGGCAAAGACTACAAAAGGAACAAGAAGGCCATGATAGCAGCTTGCGGAGAAAGGGATGATAGCTCCAGTGATAAAGTTGCCAACTTGTGTCTCATAGCTCTTGAAGAAGAAGAATTCACTGAAGATGAGGTAAATTTTAGTTATGAAGAATTAGAAAGTTCTTTCAATGAATTACTTGATGAATATAGAAAAGTATGTGCTAAAAGTAATGGGTTAAAGAAATTAGTTGCATCTCTATCTAGTAATTTGGATGAATTAAACAAGGAGAACATTACATTGAAAAATGACCGTGACACTATTTCAAGTGAGAAAATTGTTTTGAAAAAATAGTGTTCATGATTTGAATAAAACTCTTGAAAATTTTGTAAAAGGAAGAGATAATCTCAACAAACTTCTTGGAAGTCAAAGGTGTGTTTTTGATAAGACAGGCATTGGATATGATCCTTTTAAGAAACAAAAGAAACTCAACACTATTTTTGAAAAATGACCTCCCATGACACACCCTCATATTACATGTCATTTTTTGTAGAAAGAAAGGTCATTACATATCTACTTGTCCATTTAAAAACAATATGAATATGGGAACTAAAAAGGTTTGGATTATAAAAGGTATTAATATTACTAACTAAGAAGAACCTCAGAAATCATGGGTACCAAAATCCAATATTTGATTGTTTTATTATAGGTATGCCTTAAGTCCAAAGTTAAAGAAGGATGGTGCTACCTTCCTAGTGGATGCTTTAGACACATGACCAGAGACAAATCGTTCTTTACTACTTTATCATCCAAAGACGGAGGATTTGTCACTTTTGGAGATAATAAGAAAGGAAAAATCATTGGTATTGGTAGCATTGGTATCTCTCCTAACCCATCTATTGAAAATGTGCAACTTGTAGATGGACTTAAGCATAATTTACTTAGTATTGGCCAATTATGTGATAAAGGTAATATAGTTATTTTTGATAAATCACATTGCACAATTGAAAGCACAATTGATCACAAAGCACTTTTTGTTGGAAATTGCCTTGATAACGTTTATGTTTTCATCTCAATAATCTCTATGCTAAGTGATGTTAAATGTTTATATGCTAGTAATGATAATAGTTGGTTATGGCATAGAAGACTCGGTCATGTTCATATGAATCTAATTGCTAAACTTTTGAGAAAGGATATGGTCGTTGGACTTCAAAAAATTAATTTTCAAAATGATGGACTTTGTGGTGCTTGTCAACAAGGAAAACAAACCAAAACTTCTTTTAAATCAAAAACTCATATTTCCACCTCTAGACCTTTACAACTATTGCATATGGATTTATTTGGTCCCTCAAGGACATCTAGTTTTGGTGGTAAACATTATTGTCTTGTTGTTGTTGATGACTTTTCTAGATTTACATGGGTTATGTTTTTAGAACACAAAGATGAAACCTTTTCCTCTTTCACAAAACTTTGTTATAGAATTCAAAATGAAAAAGGTTTTCTTATTACTAATATTAACTTAAAAATGAAAATTGTGAATTATTTTGTGACGAGCATGGAATTGGACACAAATTTTCAGCACCTAGAACCCCTCAACAAAATGGTGTAGTACAAAGGAAGAATAGAACCTTAGAAGAAATGAGTAGAACAATACTTTGCAAAAATAATCTTCCTAAATATTTTTGGGCCAAGGCCATTCAAACCGCATGCTATATTTTAAATCGTGCATTGATTAGACATATTCTTAAAAAGACTCCCTATGAACTTTGGCATGATAGAAAGCCCAAGATTAGTCACTTGCATGTTTTTGGTTATAAATGTTACGTACATAATAATGGTAAGGACAACTTGAGTAAATTTGATTCAAAATCTGATGAAGCTATCTTTCTTGGCTATTCTTTAACTAGTAAAGCTTATTGTGTTTTTAATAAAAGAACTCTTGTTGTTGAAGAATCTATACATATGTCATTTGATGAAACTAACATGTTTTCTCCAACGCAGGTTGCTAGTGATGTTGTAGAATTGGAAAGATTCAAGCATCTACAAAGAAGAGGACCAACCATGTGAGGTAAAGGAAGAAGTTAAACAACCTATTCTCCCATCTCAAGAAGAAGGAGGAAACAATATTGATTTTCCACAAGAATGGAAGTTTGTTCACAATCACCCTAAAGATTTAATCCTTGGAGATCCCACCAAAGGTATCACCACTAGCTCTTCACTTAGAAATATTTGTGGTAATTTTGCTTTTCTCTCACAGATTGAGGCAAAGAACTTTCAAGAAGCCAAATTCAATGAACATTGAATGATGGCTATGCATGAGGAGCTCAACCAATTTAAAAGAAACAAGGTTTGGGAACTAGTACCAAAACCTAAATATCATACCATTATTGGCACCAAATGGATCTTTAGAAACAAGTTTGATGAATTCGACACCATTGTAACAAACAAAGCTAGACTTGTGGCACACGGGTATAACCAAGAAGAATGTATTGATTTCGATGAAACCTTTGCTCCGATAGATAGATTAGAAGCCATTTCCATGTTACTTGCCTTTTCATGTTTTAGAGATTTTAAACTTTATCAAAGGGATGTAAAGAGTGCATTTTTAAATGGTTTCATAAATGAAGAGGTTTAGGTCAAACAACCTCCGGGTTTTGAAAATCATGCTTTTCCAAATCATGTGTTTAAACTTTCAAAAGCTTTATATGGTTTGAAGTAAGCACCTTATGCATGGTATGAACATTTGAGCAAATTTTTGATTGAAAATGATTTTACTAGAGGAAAGATTGACATAACACTTTTTGTTAAAACCAAAATGATGATTTACTTATTGTGCAAATATATGTGGATAATATCATATTTGGTGCTACTAATGAAGCTTTATTTAAGGATTTTGCTGAGTGTATATAAGGAGAATTTGAGATGAGCATGATGGGAGAGCTAAATTGCTTCCTTGGGCTTCAAATCAAACAAATTAAGAAACAAATTTACATCAAGGAATTACTCAAAAAGTTTGATATGAATGACTCCAAATTAGCCACAACACCTATGACCACTTCAATTAAATTAGACGAGGATGAAAAGGGTAAATCTATTAATATCGAGATGTGATTGGCTCACTTCTCTATTTAACTGCAAGTAGACCTCATATTATGTTTAGTGTTTCCATGTGTGCTAGATACCAATACAATCCTAAAGAATCACACCTTAGTGTTGTTAAAACAATTTTTAGATATCTTGTTAGCACTCCAAATTTGGGACTGCTTTATCCTAGAAATGTTGCATTTGATCTGGTTAGTTACTCAAATGCCAACTTTTCCTGGGGCAAACTTGAGAGAAAAAACACTAGTGATACTTGTCATTTCCTTGGTAACTCATTAGTATCTTGGTTTAGCAAGAAACAAAATTCTGTTGCTTTATCAACGGCTGAAGCTGAATATATAACTTTTGGAAGTTGTTGTGCCCAAGTACTTTGGATGAAACAACAATTGGAGGACTTTGATTTGCATTATGATCATATCCCTAGTAAATGTGATAATACTAGTGCCATCAACTTAAGCGAAAATCTAGTTCAACACTCACGAACAAAACATATTCAAATTCGACACCATTTTTTAAGAGATCATGTTTAAAAAGGGGATATTGCTCTTGAATTTGTAAACACCGACAAGCAATTGGCAGATATTTTCACAAAACCCCCAAGTGAGGAACGTTTCAATTTTATCCATGGTGAACTTGGAATGTCGAATTCAACTTAAAGTTTTTGTTGTGAATGTGAAACTTGAGATTTTTCTTAAAATGAGGTATGTGTACTATTACATTGATATGGAAACACTCATATCATTTGAATGTTATCAAACACACTCAAACATTTCCACCAAATTAGATATATGCTCTTACAATTTGCAATATTTTGAAATTCTCATACTTGTGTCTTTATGCTAAAAATGTTCTCTGTTTTGTTGCAAACCTTCAGTTTGTGCTTATTGTTCAATACATATCCTTAGTATGGTGATTTTTAGTTTGAACCATGCTCAATATGCTTCACATATCATTGATCAAACTGTTGGACCTTGCTTGAATTTGATTTATATCCTTGCTTGTTTGCTTTTGCTATTTTGCTCAATTGCTCTACTTTTGTTTATATGAGCAAAATTTTTTTTCTTTGGTATCAAACTTATGCTCTTGCTTGATATTGAAATTGATGCTTATGCTAAAATTTGTTTGATTACTTGAGATAGCATGAATTTCTCAAAATGGATGAACTTACTGCTTCAAGATTTATGCCATATTTTCTTGCTAAAATAGATTGTGTGTTTCATGAACAATCATTTGATCTAGTCCATTTCTCCTTATGCACTCATGGCATTTATCGGCACTTATGATACATTGTGAAATCCATCCTTTATGTGTTTTTCATAATGTCACAGGGGGAGAATTTGTGATGGTTTGTTAAACAAAGCAATGATATATACTTTCGGGGAGCAATATCTGTTATAAATTGGGGAAGAAATCATATTATGTTTGTTGTCATTGTTTTTGGTATCTCAATCTATTTATGTGCTTGAATTGATTGCCACTGTACTAACATGCTTATATCTAGAAAATGCAATCATTCAAGGGGAGCATGATTTTAGGGGGAGCTTTTTGTTGTCCCAAACAAATCAAAGCATCATGTTGTGCCATCATCAAAAATGGGAAGATTGTAAGACCTTTTGTATTTTGATGATTGTTTTTGTTTATGTTTTAACTTTGTTTTAATTTATTTGAAAGGAGAAAATAGATTGAATTAGTATAATTTATTCCATGATATTTTGATCCTTGCTTATATACTAATCATGTTCTTCTTGTACAAAATGAGGCTAAAATAGGTACCAAATCAGCGCACCAGAGCAGCAGAAGCACACCCGGCCATATTATAACACCATCCGACCATGGGTTATTAAGCCTGATCGTGGGTTTTGTGACCCAGCCGAATTTCATTCCAGACGTCTAGGGGGACGATTGGCCGGACGTCCAGCCAGATGAACAACCATGACATTTTGGCCCAGTTTTGCTCTAGTTCAGTTTTGCTTCGCTCCAACTGTCAAATCAACAATATACTTGACAATTGTGACAGCCATCCTTGATGATCGGGACTTGACCGGACATCTGAAGGACATTTGGGCGAATGACCACCAAGAACAAAACTTCATCTGGGACATCTAGGTGGACGACAACTCTGTGCTGCAATTTTTTTCAAAATACTTGCCACAAATCAGACCCATCTTTTATCTCATCATTCAACATTTGAAAGTCTAGGAAATGTAAGATTGTGTAGAGTAGATTTAACCAAAATCGCGCTTAATTTTCTC